TTCTTGAGATGGTTTGGAGAATGATTCAGTCACTGATAGCAATAAGAGAGTGATTATGTGTAGTATTATCAAAACAAAAATTAACAGAGAAATGATGCTATCTTAAGAAATAATCCACTCTCTTATGAATTGAGCAGTAAGTGCAAAACTTGATTTTGCATGAAAAATCAAGATGAGTTAGAATGTTCATTGAAATCAGAATAGAAGAAATTCAGTGATGAATAAAAAAATATCTCTGATAGTGATGTATTAAATAGAGTAGAAAGAAGAGCTCAATCTATTACTGATTTATTTTAGGAACTCTTTGCTGTTGTGATTTAGTTAAGACTCATAATTATAGGTTGTTAAGTGATCATTCTAGCTATAATAAAGTTGAGGAGAATGAAAGATATTAATAAATAATTTCTTGAATTTTTTATCAACTATTTTACTCTATCTAAGAAAACAAATAAAGTGTCTGAAGACACATGACACAGATGAAAGCTTATCATCTGTAGTCTGATTCAGAAGATTTTTTAAACTCTTTTTTATTTTTAAGCTTCTTCAGCTTCTTGATATAATTCAAAATCTTTATATACACTAATGCTATAGCTTTTCTGATGATGTGAAGATATTTGATATCTTCTGAAAAATTCTTAAGAAATGTGATAAAGACTTGTAAACTGAAATAGAGTTTCAAGAACACATGCTTGAAGATATTAAAAAGAATAACTGTCTTGTCTTTTATCTTTGTTGAAGTGGATTTATTGTTTGACAGTTTAACTTGTAAAGAATGGGATGGATGAGATGATTGTTGCTTTGATTCATTATTAAAAATGAGATTGATCTTGTAATTGGAGTGAAGTGAGCAAAGATGAGAAGAGTTAAGTCATACACAGAATATGTAAGCACTTTTTCTCATCTTAAGATCTTTAGAACTGACAGCATGAACACACTGTTGAAAAGAGCTGTTGCTCTTGATGCAGAATGTACAAGATTTGTCTTTGACAGTATTATATGAATAGATTATCACTGCATTCATCTGTAAATCTTTACTGATGGATTTAAAGTTGAGAAAGATGCCATCTGAAGAAGTTCCATGTCATTTAATTAGATGTCAGATGTTGAGTCTGACTATATTAACAGCTGCTTGGGTTGATGATGAGACAAAGAAATGTTGGAGAATCAAGACTGCAAAGTTGATGATTTTATATACAGATACATTTATGTTTAAGAAATAGATTATCAAATGATGGAAAAGACAATCTGACAGCTCAGAAAATGGTGTATGGAGTGTTATAAAATTATTATGAATCAGACTGTAGTTACTGATCAAAACAGTGAATGGGAGTGAA